TGAACAATAAAACCTATCAGTTAAAATGATATAATTTTTTTTTGTTTTAGTATTTTGAAGTTGACCAATTGTTACTATAAGCAATAATGATTATAGATGGTCTGCACCTTATTTGTTTTATTCATTATCGGAATCTTGGGTTTGTTCATTCATTTTATTAGATTATTTGGAATCCTGGGTTTATACAACAAGGTTTAATATTGATTTTATTATTATAAAAATTGAAATTAAAATGAAGCTAATAAGGAAAGAATGAAACAAGATTCATGTTTCTTTTAATAAATAGCAATCTTTCCAGTGAGCTTGGATTTAAACTGGACCTTAATTATTTGTTTTATCTTAATTTTTCGAATTATTTGCTTCATTCAAATTAATATTAATTTCCTTATTCAAATTAATTTCCTTATTCAAATTAATTTTTTTATTTGAGTTAATTTCCTTATTCGAATCAATTTTCTTATTTGAATTATTCGTTTTATTCGAATTAAAATTTATTCGAATGAACTTTCAATGTAATTCGAATACTCAAATTCATAACGAATAAAATAAATAATTTGAATAAACCTTATTCAAATAGAAACCCTACCTCAAAGTGTAGAGATACATTTATTTTCATCATGTGACAAACACTTGATAGTGTTGGCTGTGAATCAAAAAATTCCATATTATTGTTTCTTGAAATCTCAGCAACTTACATATAAAAGTTTTTGAGAAAACATTCCAAGCCCTCTAATGCTTTGATGTAATAATCTGAATTTTACTTTATACAGTGTGTAACAAAAAAAATTTGCCCTCATTAAAAACTGCATAACACAACAACTACAAAAGATAATTTAATAAAATCACATTCATTTAAAAGCCTATTGAATAGTTTTTTAATAAAAAAATTTGATATGAATTACTATTACCATTTTTTTTTTGTAAAGTCGATTTGCATCTTTTTTTTAGATGTCTAAATTTTTTGATTTCCACCAAAAAGTATTAGACAGCCATTTTGCAGCTCAAGTTCTAGAGATTATTTTTATAAAATCCCATGCTTCCAAATTTTCTAGAATTTTATCAATTAAAAATAAAATAAATTCAATTATTTTTGGAAAAATAAATTTAATATAATAATTGCTCTAAAGCCTACATTTCAAAATTTCTCTGTGATAATTCAAGATTGTCTGATCCTTTGATATAATTTTATTACATGATTTTATTACTTCTTTAGTTAGAATGCAGGTGCCATTTTTTTGCAACACACTGTATATACATAAAAGAATGCAAAACATTATGCTTTATTATTTGTTAAGCATTGTCAATTGGCAGGCGATTTTTTAAATTCTAATATTGTTAAATCTTTATAAAATATCTACATCAGCAGAATAATCCAAATAAGGAATCCATAAATGATTTTTTTTTTCTGAATTGAAAAACCGAGCTGAAAATTTACAGTTTAACCAATTGAGCCAAACCTTAATAAATACTAATTCACATCATTTGTGTTTTCACCAGTAATATTATTGTCATTTATAATATTCACATAAGATAGAAACAGGGATTCGAAAAAATTTTGTTTTACTTATGTTTAATTGCAATTTACTATTAAATTTAATCAGATGCATCAATAATCACATGAATCAATATATAAAACATTGTAAAAAACAAACAAGACATCTCAGGTAGCTTCTTTCCCTTTACAATGAATAGGACATCGTAGACGGTTCCTCTTTCCTGGTAATTCCTCTTCATCATAAAAATTATAATCCACACTAAGTGGAGAAGAAGATAGCGATCTTAGTGTTTGTGGGGAAGGAAGTAATGATGGTTTATTGTTTGCTTAAGATAATTAATCAAAAAAGTAATTCCTTGCTAAGATCTCTTTCATCAATTGATCAAAAAGGCAATATTTCTTAAATAAATGATTTTATCTTGGTATAATAGATAATAATGCATTTTTTGTCTTCATGACAAAAAAAAAGGTAGATATTGATTTTTCCTGTAATTTTTAAATTCATGTTGGTTTCAACATGGAAGAAGATAGCAGAGAAAATCAAGCACAAGTTAAAAGAAAAAACAGAAGGCCTATCAGGTGTCATTGAAAGTAGAAAGGTTTATACCCTTGGAAAGAAATAAATACATTCATTGATCTGCAAACACAAAGAAAATGATCATTTGCAATTTAACATCTCTTGAAAATAGAAAATTCCTTCACAAAAATCAAGTTTAACAAAAGTTGATTTCATGACCTCCTTTACATCAACATCAACATGCCATGTTGACTTCTTTTTTCCCACCCAACATGATCACATCATGATCAATAGAAAGCGTTTATCACAACGTAACCAACTTCGTGAACTGCAAATTCTGATGCTAAATTATATACTGCTCAAAAAGAAGCTGAAGCTGCACTATACCAAAAACAGAAAGAAGCCGAAGGTGTGTTATCTTTGTATAACGCTCAAGCCGAGGGTATCAAAAATTTGATGTTAGCATTTAATGGCGATACTCAAGCAGCTGTTCAATACATTATGATTGAACGCGGCGTCTTCCAACAATTGGCCAAAGAAAATGCTTCGGCAATCCAAGGCCTTAATCCTAAAATCACTGTTTGGAATACTGGCGGTGAATCTGCTCAATCTTCTAATAACCCAATCAACAGTATATTTCAATCTTTACCTCCACTTTTATCAACAATTCAAGATCAAACTGGCATTAAACCTCCTACTTGGATTGCTCAAATGTCTGATAATAACACCTCTTCCACTTGAACTCAATAGACAATTTATTTTCTTTGCTTAATAATCATTATAATTATATATATCATTCTTATTATTATATATTTTATTACTTATTTTACCATTGTATATAAGCTGAATTGGAAAGCATTTTAATATAAAGTTCTATTATTAATATTAATAAACCCATCATCTTTTTAGAAAATCAAAAATTTTTATTATTATTTGACGAATAAAAGTCACGTGAATAAATAAAATAAATAAATTTTTTTTTAAAGAAATTTAAATTTTAATATAATGTCCTTTCCACTTGACGATTACCTTGCTAAAAAATATGGCGGAACATCCTCCTCCTCTTCTACCTCTTTAACAAAAGTTCCAAAAAAAAAGAAAAAACAAAAAACTTCAAAAGCAACAAAAGCAACACCGAAAAGTATAATTGGCAATTTTTCCATTATTGATGAAGAGGAGATAACCGAGAAATGGAAAAATGTTCAGTCAGAAGATGACGACGATGAAGTTCCTGTTATAGGTAAACGGTTGCTTTAAGATTATGTAAATATATTAATTACTTTATCGTAGTTGTCAGACTAACTTCTCCTCCTTTTAATTTAAAAAGTTGTTGATGCATCAATCATGGAGCAAGAAGAAAGAAATAAAAAATGGAAGCCAATCGCAATCGAACCAGAGGATGAAAAACCACAACTAGGTAAATAGAATAACAATAATTGAAACTGAATTGAATTAAACGATTACGCAATATAAAGACAAATCTTTCATTAACATAGAACATTAAACTGCTTTTAGTGTTACCATCAAAAGAAGTTATGGAAGATATTATTTCAGCAACAACAACGACGGCGACAACATCAAACTCTGCTAAAATTGAAGATAGCACATTAAATGAAAATACTACTACTTCCTCTGCAAAAAAACGCAAAAAAGCTAGATCAGTATCACCTACACCTAAAATGTCATCAGGTTTGAGTGCTGGTTTACATACATATGATAAAGCACGTAAAGAAATGGCTTTGGTTGAAAAAAAAAAGCGAGACGAGCTAAGAAATTTAGATCCATCGTTATCTGGTAAAGGTGCTGACGTTATACATCGTGATAAATCAGGTAATTAATAAAAAATTTTTTTTGCTTTTAATTTAGATACACACATACATGTATTTTAAAATATTACTTTTGCTATTGCTATCTATCTAGGAAGAAAAATTGACATAGTAGCACAAAGAGCAGAAGAACGCAAGAGAATTGAAGAAGAAGAAAAAAATATGAAATGGGGTAGGGAAGAAGAAATCAAAAAAGAAGAAGTATTGTTGAATAAACCATTGGCAATGTATGTTTACTAATATAGCACAATCTTTTATAAAAACTTTTTTGTTTGTTATTAAGTTAAAGTTAAAAGCATATATTATTATCAATAGATATAAAGATGACGTGGAATTAAACGAGGAATTGAAAGCAAAAGGACGTTGGAATGACCCGGCGGCAGATTTCTTGAGTAGTGTAAGTGTTATATATGTGTGTGTGTGTGTGTGTGTATATAATTAGTTAGAATAATAATTTTTAATTCTAATCTATCTATTTATTGATTAATTTAGAAAAAGAAAAAAAAAGGGTTGGAAAGACCACGATATAAAGGACTACAACCGCAACCAAATAGATTCAACATAGACCCAGGCTATAGATGGGATGGTGTTGGTAAGTTTGATTTTCTAATCACGTTATTATTACTATTGTTATCATTATAATTAATGATAATTTGTTTAATTTAGATCGGTCTAATGGATTTGAAAGACAATATTTTGAAAAAATCAATGATAGAATTTCACTAGAAAAACAAGCATACAGTTGGTCAGTTGAAGATATGTGAAAATAATATAATAGATAAAGAATCAGATTTTATATATTTTCATTGAAGATAGTTACAAACAGACATTTTATTATCATTAAGTTAGATTATATTTATTCAATTAATTATTTTTTAATAAAATATTTCAATATGTGTGCGCTCGACTCTTTTTACATTAAAATATTGGAAATACCATACTATCCTAATCATTACAAGTAAAACATTACAATATGTAATATTAATAATTCTTCAGAAGAAATGTTTCTTTTTATAGTTATCTTTAGTCTCTAGATTCAGAAATTAAAGAAGATCATTCATTATTCTTATCCATTGCTTTATCTTCATTATTATTATTATTATTATTATTATTATTACTGGCACATATATACTATAATTATAATTACGATTATTACGTTTTCACGATAAAACTACTATTATCTTTATAGATCTACCATGTATTTTTATTTCCACTCAAAGTTGTGCATTTTTACGAATTTTTACTATTGAAATCAAAATCCTACTACACATATATATGAAAAATGAAGATTTATATATGTACTGGTAAATCATATTAATATGATGTGGAACACCTCAACCGAATATGTATAGTAATCTTAATAATAAACCAGAAAAGCTCTCAAATTATCTCAATGCTCACAAACATGTAAACTGAAATGTCTGTTTTTTTTATAATGTTGACGACATTTGATGATTGAACTTTAGATGTTTCGGTTGGGTTTTTGAGTTACAAGTGTATTTATACTTCTTGAAGTATTATATTTTTGTCCAAGAATGATAAATGATGGATGACTAATTGTGATTATTAATGCTAAATGCCAAAAACGCGCTATGGATTCATTGATGACTGACTCCTTGGATATATAAAAAAACTTGATTGACAATAATTGAGACCCCAATTTACTATCCTCTTCTACTAACAATATTGATGTTATCGGGCAATCACTATTAAGCTATTTCAAGTTCTTAAATACCACAACAAAGACAAACTTGCAGCATAGAAATAAATGATACGTTTTGTTTTGTTTTTTTTTTTATATTCTAAAAATTTAATTTTAAATTTTATAGAAAAAAATGATGAATTTGATGTTACATCCCAACAACATACTACTTCCAAGAATCAATTTACATAATAACAATCTTACTCTTGCAAGCTCTTTCACTCCTTGACTAATTCTGATCAATTAGATGATACATCTGACCAATCAATTAACACACCTGCTTCAGCAAGTGTATCTGATATACAAAACAAAATGGAATACTTTGTCAATTTCCTCAAGGAAATTTTTAGAATTGTACTATAAATTGTTTATTTTTATCCAGTTTAAATTTTATGAAATAAAATTTTTAAAAAAATGACAATCATCAACGCACTAATTACACTACCGCTTTATATCAAAGCTCACAATTGTTGTCTTTTTTTACTAAAGCATTTTGCTTTCAAAAAGAAATAAAATAATGTTTTTATTTAAGAGTTTTATTATGATAATGGTTTTACAGGGTTTTATTTTATTTGAATGTTAATGTGGTATTTGTCCTCCCCACTTTTTCAAGAGAAGTCCCGAGGTTCATTCATTATCATTAAGTTGATTGAATGTCCAATAAAAATTTTTTATTAGTTATTTATATTTTGTCTCCTCATACTAGTAATAATTTATCAAGCTAACATAAGTAATTAAACTATAATTAATGAAAAACATATGAAACATATACAAAGAAACACTAATAATATAACACTGTATTTATTGTTATTTTTTTTTATCAATTATTTGAAAAACTTCTAATTCATCAAATCTACTGCCATGTGTTATATTGATGTTACTATAACTTGATGTTGTGCTATAAGTAGTACCATTTGTTTGAAACCAAATATCATTACGACCAAAAATAGCTAAATATGAAGGACTGCAGAAAACTGCATATTGATATTTGATAGCATAACTAAATTTTGCAGTGTCAATATCATTTCTATTGTTTATATTAAATATAAAACTTTCAACTGCATTTTTATGACCCTGTCCATTCCAATCAAGTGGATTATAGCCACCAACTATTTGATTTGAATTTTGTATTTTGCCAACTACAAGAGTTTTGTTGATATTATTGCATTTTTTATGAAATGTAGCTACTTTTAAACCATCTCTGCTACTACGATATAGAAGTTTGAATTTGTATTTGACTTCCCTGAATGAGGTATATGGTGGACTTTTTCTATCAATCCAACTTGCAAAAAGCAAAATAAGGTTTTGATTAATTGCCAATGATTCAAGTGTTGGTGATTTTGAATTTGAAATTCTTGGTGGTAATAAATTTAAAGTTTGTTGTCTATCAGGGTATAAATGAGATTGCAAAAGGGGTTTCCATAAAGTCCTAGGAAAAAGCATATTATATGGTTCAATTTTATCAATAAAATCATCTTTAGAAATATCCTGAAATCTTATTAGAGAAAAAAAATCTTTTAATGTGTTGCCTAAATCAGCAAAATTTTGTGATGACCAATCTTCAGGATTGATATTATTGATTTCTGGATGTTTTGCTAATCCCCATTTAAGAATGCTTTCCCAAATAACTGTCTCATCAATAGAAAAATCATCCCTTTTGAGAATTTCCAATAGAATTGGTTTTTCCAATGATTTAAATTCACTTGATTCAAATAATTTTTCACTGTATTCACAAAATTTTTCCAAATAGATATTTTTCAATTCATTAAAATTTTCATTAGCATAAATCAATTTTAGAATTTTAACTGGATCTTCTTTTATATAATCTTCATAATTTTCAATAAAGTATTTCATTGTATATTCATAAAGTGACTCAATACCAAATTCATCTGCCACAGTTAATAGTTCTAATACTTCAGCACCAGAATAATTTTCAAATTCAATTTTACATGTATATAAAAATCTTAAAAAATAAATAAATTATTAAACAATAATTATAAATAAATAAAATAAATAAATGAATAATAAATTTATTAAACTTACTTGAGAATAGGGTTGAAAATTTTTTCACTAATATTAGCTTTCTTAACAATATAATAACCATTTTCTTTTGTTGTATTATTTAATTCATTGCTAAAAAATGGACAATGAGCTGATATGATAGATGCATGTGCATGAACTTCTTTAATGTTTGGTTCTACATCAATACATATTTTTACATCATAAAAATCTTCAGTATTTAACAATCTTTCATTTTCGTTAAAATATTTTTCAAATATTAGATTCATTTTTAAGATAAAAATGTGAATGGCCAATCACATGTTACAATTAAATTATAAAAAGGAGACCTTTTCTACCTTTTAAGAATCATAACTTTGTAGCAATTTCCATTTTTGGAAGTATTAAAGGATTTACACATCCAATAAAAAGTTTAGCGACCAAGTGACTTGCACTGCAAGTACCATTTTTTTATATAAAGTCGTCAATTAGTAAAATTTGTGATATTTTTCTTCCGTCGATTCGAATTCATTGGTTTATAGACGGATTATCAATTATTTTTTTTGCACTTCGTCTTTGAAATGCTCAGAAATAATCAAGCAAGCATAGCTCGCATAAAAAGTTTTCCTCATAAAAATTGCGATATTTAATAGTTTATCATTCAAAATCAATTTGTTGCTAGAATGCGTCGCGATTTTGTAGTTTTTTTTTTTTTTGAGTTCTTTGAAATGCTCAAAAACCGTCAAGTAGACAAGCCTCGCGTATTAACTAAGTGAGTCGTTTTAAACTCAAATTGCAGACAACTAATTGGAAATCGTTTCCATTCGCTTTCTTTCCCTCCTTTACTTTGCTTTTGAACTAGGTTATAAAAAAACATTTTGAGCTTTGTTCATCTCTAAATAATAGTTTTTGATTTTTCTACTAAGTTTCTTTGCCTTTTGTTTATAAACTAAATTTTTGCTATTGATATACTTCTAATAATACTTACATTAATATGATCATATTTTGTTATTCGTTCAATCAGTTAATCCGAACAGATGTATTAGTATTAGTATCATTTGTGTAGCGATTGGATGACGGATTAAATTTTGTAATAGTAATATTAATAGTAATATTATAACAAGAATTTCCATTGTCTGTTTCATCGTTATTTAGTCTTTTAGAAACATAGATAATGAGAGAAACCAACACCATTTATAAGCATCCCAGCTCAGTCATGATGGTGACGTTGCATTTGTCGACCTTCAACAGAAATACTCACATTGTAGTATGCAAATATTTTGAATCCGAAGAAGGGTAGCCCCATACGTTCCATGACCGAATAGAAGACACAAATAAATTTTAAAGTATCGTATTCTCTTTGAGAAAAAAAAAACGAAACTTGCCTTTAATATAATAATAGTATTGGTAAAGTCAAGCCTCGTCACAGCGGACCTCTACACAGCGGATTTCTTGTTACAACAGATTTAAATATTATAAGGCCGTTCTAGAGACCTTTATAGTCAAGTTGATTATTGGTGGGAAAATGATGTCTCTATAAATTTGACTTCCTTTATCACTCTTGTATGTAGCGGTTCCATCGATAGACCTGCCTGAGGAACTGCGATTCAAAATGTAACAGAAAACGGTAAAATTGAAGTCATTTTTGAGAATAATTTCATAAATCTCAATTTCATCACAATTAACTTATGATGTCTTCACAAAAACATAAACCTCAACTTATTGCTGTTGTTAACTTGTTCTGACAGTTCATTGTGACCTATTCGTTGTAAAATAGGTGGACTTTCAATAATTTGAAAAATGCCTGAAGGAGAAAAACAAACATGTTTTCCTATACATTTAAATATGAATGTTCAATTAGAACTCAACGAGACAAAATTTATTATTTGTGCTGTTAATGGAAATAATAATACTTCTTTTTTGAATTTCACTTTTTCCTGTTACATCTCCTGTAATATCTGATTC